ACTATTTTATAAATTTAAAGCTATATTATAAAAAGTAAAAGATTATTAAACCTTATATACTACTTTATGTATTATATACGCTTTAGACTTTTAATATTAAGTATTTTAGCCCCTAAAATAAGTATATAGTTAAAGAATTTAGGTCCTTATATAGATATATATTATATATATTATAAAGAAAGACTTCTTTTTAACCTTTTATAAAGTATATAATAAGGTACTTATAATAGTATATATCTAAGTAGACTTTAGAGCAATTAGCCTTGTTTTATATACACTTAAATATATAGTTTTATAGCTAAATATAAAGCTTTATATACTAATACTACTATATTCTTTTACTAGCTTACTAGAACCTTAGGTTATAAGGAAACTAAGTAACCTAATTAAATTTACTTTATAGTCTAATTTAAGTATAAATTAAATTATATAACACTAGAATAGCTCTTAAATATTAATTATTAAGTATATATAGTAGATTAAGAAAAGAATAATAGTAGTAGTATATAAGTAAACTTTAATATAGATAGACTTAGGTAAGTATTAAGAGGTAAATAAGTATTTAAGCTACTATAATTATATAATAAGAAGTAGATCTAGATATATAAAACACTTATAATTAAATAAGTATAAGATATAAAGTCTTAAATAAATATAATAAAGTAGTTATAAGTAAAAATAAGTTAAAGTAGTACTTATATAAAGAGAATAAAAGTATATATATAATATTATAGTATTTATAAAAAGCCTAGCTATAATACTTATATATATTAAAAGTTAAGTCTACCTCTAAAGAAGAGAATTCTAAATAGTTTAAATAAATTTAAGATATTATAGTTAATTTCTCTTAAATATTATTATATAAGTAGTAAAAGCTAACCTAGTTACTTAGATAACCTAGTTACTTATAAACTATATTAGTAATTATAAGTTAATAGTCTTATATTTACTACTAGTATACCTTATAGTTTAACTATTAAAGTATCTTTTTATAAGGCTACTTATTAACTTTAGTCTTTATCTAAATATTACTATTACTACTACTATTATTAATAAAAGATTTTATAGTAGCTTAGTAGTTATTATACATAGGCTATAGATTATAGCTATTAAATAAAAGTTTAATATTAATAAAGATAGTAGTAAGGTAAAGTCTAGCTTATTATAAAACGTTTAATAAGTAGTTACTATTAATAAGTATAATTTAACTAGCTTTTTGTTTTATTTAGTTAGACCTATAAGATCTTAAATAAAGTTAAGGTCTTTAAAGTATACCCTAAGGTTATATAATACTTTTTAATAATATTAATTATTTTATTAGTCTAGTAAGTACTTCTCTTATTAAAAGATATTAAATACTTATTAGGTAAATACTAAATACTAACTATAATTAACCTATACTTAATACTTAATAAGAAAAGTATAGAGGCTTATTAAGACCTTTAGGTTAATAGCTTTAAATTATTAATAGACTAGTTAGCAAAATGTTTTTAAGTATAGTAAAGTAATTTACTACTAAAGTAGTTATAATACTTATACTTACTAAAGTAAATTATAGGAATAGTATTAAATATAAAACATTATTATTACTTTATAAGGTTAATTAGTAACTACTATATAGTAAGTATAGTATATTATAGATAAATAGAAATAATAATATATAAGGTTATAAGTATAGAAATAAATATATATCTAAGAAATATATATCTTGTTATTTAATGTTTTTTATAAAGAAAGTTAACCTTAATATACTATTTATTTATATACCTAGCTTTTATTATATATTAATTATTTAGCTTTTTATTATTACTTACTTTCTTTTACTACTCTACTATTAGACTTTACTTTTGCACTATACTACTTTATATTACTACTATAGCCTAGCTTCTTCTATTAGATAAATAATAGCTAGTAAGAAAAGTACATTAGTAAAATTATAATATAGTTCTTTTATTATTCTTATAAAAGAATATACTTAATTATTTAATTATCTACTAGTAATAAGTTATTAAGATTAATTTAATAACTCTAATTTTTATTTATAATAGTTAATATTATAATAAGTTAATAGTTAGTAATAAGATAACAAGATAAATAAGAAAAGAGGTTTTAAGAAAAAAAAATTATAAGTTAAAGATATAGATTTAATAATAGTAGTCTAATAAAGATAGTAATATTATAAAACAAAAGTATATAGCTAATTTATATACTTTACTTTTTAAAATAGTTAATACCTTAGGTTTCTTCTAATAAACACTTAACTTATATAACCTTTCTAGATAGACAAGACATTAATCTACTAGGATAGCTTTACTATATTAATTTAATATTACTAATATAATCTTTTTAAGTAAAGTATTTATTTTTAATAGTTATTTTAGCTATAAACCTTAGTGTAGAAGCTAAATAAAGCCTTATAGTTAAGGCAATATTTAGATAAGTTAAATACTTTTATTTAAGTAATAATGTATTTCTAAAGAACACTAGCTAATAATTTAGTAGTAGCTAATTTTTTTTAAGGTCGGTGTTTAGGTTAAAGTTGCCTTATTTAGTGATTACGTCCACTAGATCCTTCTATGGCCCTGCTCTAGTAAGGACTATGTTCTAAACCAGCTTGTGCTAGTGCAACAGTCGTCTGGTCGTACAGTCGTGCTTAGCCTACACTAAGATATACAAGGATCATTACCAGGATTAAAGGATTCTTAAAACTTAACACGTTAACAAGGGGTAAGCCTTCTATTTCTATACCTTTACGTTAGAGTTATAGGAATAAGAATAGATCTATAACACTATAGTAAGCTTAGCTTATAGATAAGACTAGTCTCTAGATTATATATATCTATATAGCTTTTTGTTAGTATAGTGTAATAAGAGTGTTAATGTATCTTGTAGAGTTAAAAATGTAGTAAAATCTACAAGAGGTGGGCAGATCTGCGTTGTGGAAGGGAGAGAAGTCAAAGGGTCAAGAGGAGGAGGCTAGGCTGGCCATGCTGAATGATTCTGGATGGCGAGGATGGAACAATTGAGCATTCGCCATTGGTCTTGGAGCAATAAGTTGATAGCGTAGGGATGTGTTAATGTGTTTACAATAGGCGCATTTGGCCACTTGAGGCCATCTGACGCATAAATGCCGGCAGTATTTCTAGTATGGATTTCCCAGCTTAAGGAGGGAACCGCTGGCACGTGCACTGTACCCCTAAGCCCACAATCCTTGAGAAGATGGTCATGTGATTAGGCCCCTCGCTCACTGATCAGCCTCAGGCCGGCCACCAGCCACTAGGTCAGCCACCAGGCCAGCCACTTCACCTTGGCTGGCAGCAGGGTTTTTCCTGGCTCCTCTTGTCTTCTTCACACTTCTCCACGTAGCAATACACGAGTGATTGCGCCGATAACACACACGCCCTTACAGCAGGGATAACGTGGCTATACACGTACTTTGACATTTTCCCTCTGTTTTTAATCTCAGCCACCACATCCTTGGCACTGACACAACCGGCTGTATGGAGTTCAACAACATTCCAACCAACATCGTCAGTCGGATACTGGACCAATTAGTCGAGTTCTGTGGCACGCCTGACAAGACCCTGGAAGTACGGCGCTCCCTCCTCATGGCCCGACTGGTCTGTCGCAAATGGAATATGCTTGCCGCGCGACGCCTGTATCACACAATTAAACTGGTTCCTAGACAAAGCATAAGTGAAGACGAGGATGAGTTCAAATCATGGAACAAGATCCTCGACAATGCGGCTGCGAGGAGTGCCGCTCAGAGAGTCATCATAAGGAGTTGTCCCGACAACTTATCACGCGACAAGATTGGGGACTTGGAAGTCTGGGATGATTGGAAGAAGGGGAAATACCCTGGCTTCACTTCGGCTATCAGCCGCATTGTTGAGCTACTAAAGATTGCAGCACTTGAACTGCACTTTTCCGAGGCTTGCCATGGTCGGGACTTGGAGTCTTGGGAGGACGAAGGCGAGCCGATTGAGGCCCGGCTGAACACTTTGAAGGCCATATTCCAAGCCATCCAAGACCGCGCGGCTCAGGGCAATGCAGAGTGTAGCAAGATTCGATCCCTCACAATCTGCAACCTACAAAACGTGCCGCACCACGATTTCGTCTCGTCAAGCCTGTTCAAAGACGTCGCCAAGGACATCGAACGGCTACACCTCTTGGTCGTGGAGGAATACAACGAGCATGGGCCCGATTGCGACGTCTTCGTTCAGGAACGTTTGGAGTACGAGCGTCACCTGCAGAACGACATTCTTCCTCATTTTGCGGAGAACTTGACGGCCCTGAGCCTGTTCTTCAGAGAGCCTTGGGGCGCCATGCCGGGCCACTTTGATGGTGGAGGTCTGGTGTTCCCTCGCTTGAAAACACTAAACTTGGGAAACTTTGTCATCAAGGACAACAGTCACTTTGACTGGGTTCTCTCGCAAAAGTCGCTGGAAACCTTGCGTATGGATAGCTGTTATATTCTTTCCTACATTCGTACCGACACGGAGCACACCGCGAAATGGAATCTAAAAACAAAAGACTGGCAGCGGCTACCCAACGGTTCCTACGGGTTTCTTGCTGAAGACGATGATATATTCAGCTATGACGGTACGTGGGAGGCCGTCTTCGATCGGATTCATGAGAGGCTCCCGGACCTGAGAGATCTTCGCGTCGACGAGAACAAATATAATCTGAACTTTTTGCAACGGTCCCAGCTTAGTACCTTGCTGCTTCCGAGTCGGTACATCGCATTCGACATTGGAATTTTACCTAGTCCATGGATCGAAACTAGTATTGAAGATGGAGAAATGGAGTTTGGCGACAATAACCCAAATACTGACGATATGAAGGAGGACAATGGCAAAGCCGGAGACGACGACGAAAATTTCATCTTGAATCGCGCTGCTGAGACAAGGAATGGAGACACGAGAGCATTCAACGAGCTCCTGGAAGCCTGCCGGGCGAGAAATTCAGCATGTTCGTCTAGCCGCTGTGGAAATCTGGGTGCTAAATCATAATCTTTCTTTTGCAACACTCCGGGTGAAGAAGAATGTGGTTACTAGAGAGTTCAAAGTATTTGTATTTAGATACAGTTGAATAGCATGAGTTGAAGAACCTGGGCCGTCAACCAGGTGACGTGGTCTTTAATGATATCCTCTGCATCACCAGAAGGACGCTCAAAAGGATACAGAACCATCGAATATTACAACATTGACGACGCCGAAAGTGCGATAAGGACCTTTAGGTAGAACTTCGTTTCAAGAGAGGACAATTAACGCCAGAGATATAAAAGAGTGTTCGTTTGCAGTAGTGATGGACCGTTTGGATGACCGTCACGCTCCTGAATCAGGGCGTAGTGCCTGCAGCGAAACGAACATAATCGAAAACTAGTGTCCAGGACTGCGGACCTAAATGCATTTAGACGGTTTCTAGATTGCCCTTGATAGGTGTTTGTTCCCTTCTTGTTCCTTCTCTGTCTTTCTTTTCTACACCTCCCTTTCCCGCTCTTCTGTCTGTTCCTTTCTTGTTACTGAAGAGGGAGCATAGCAACAGCCACAGTGACGAATTGCCACTGCTTCTCCAACTCTTCCGCGCTCGGCGGCTGGAAGAAAATAATTCAGTATCTGCCAAACGTTGTCCTGTCAGCTGTGTATTCTGGCAGGCAGGTCTGCACGCGCTTTAGAGATGAGGAGGACAGTGACATCTATGACAAAGATACAGGAAGTAGTTATACTAACAGGTTAGTCTAGACGCAAGACTGGGTAATAGACATAGCTATAGGCAATGCGGCAGCAGCAGTGGCAGCGGCAGCAGTTGGAAGAGTAGCAATAACTACGCGGCGGCGGTTTACCTTCCTGCTGCAGTCGAGTTTTCCTAGCCAGCCCAGGTTCAGGTCCAGCTACCCTGATGCAGAAGAGGTGTTACAAGCATTATCCCAGGCGATCTCTGGGCTTCAGAAGTGACAGGCGCAGCTACACTATGCCCAAAAGGACGTTATAGATCAATAGGATGCTAAGCTAGACAAGTACAAAAGGGTTAAGGAGCACTCGGTGGAGGAATTATATAGAGCCCTGGACTTTATTGACTTAGTGGCAGATGCAGGTAACAGAGGCGCAGGCGGTAACTGGCTAACTAGCCTCTGGACATATGCTGGGTTGGGTAAGGATGCTTAGGCCTAGTAGGTATTCTCAGCTAACATGTAGAGCGAGATGAGGCAGGAGGTGTAGGACGGCGACATGCTTAGCAAGATTCTGATGCAGAAGCAGATAGAGTTGCTACAGCGAGTATGATATTGATGTCTAGCTACATACGTGAGTAGCGTAGCCTTGTGCAGCCATATATTAAGGCCTCCCGAGATGTCAAGTTTTTCTTGACTTGTAACCTGGCATGTGCAAGTGAGGCTATTGCGGGAGCTGCATGGACCTTTTTTTCTTTTGAATTCAATTTAGATTTATTGCCAAGTGCACGGGATTGCGTGTGCACTACACATACATACATATATACAGGTACCTGTCTACTTCTAATGTACATTAATAAATTTTATTCCAGTGTAGGACCAAAATTAAAGAACAAGTGCTTATCTAGATTAACTTAAACTAATCTTGTTTAGTTAAGAATTAGATTTTAATTAATAGTTATAAACTTAAGTGTTTTTAGTAATAAGAACTAACTTACTTACTTATATAAACTAGTTGCTTATAAACTAGATTATATAACCTTTAAGTATACTTTAGAAACGTTAAGTTTATTAAAGATTTTAAGAGTTAATTATAAATAAAGAAAAGCTAGTTAAATTATACTTCTTACTAGTAACTATTTATTAGACCTCTTATAATAACCTAGCCTTACTTTACTAGTGTCTTTATTAACACTAAAACCTTATATAGTAACTAAAATCTATAGCCTATATATACTAACTATTAGGCTACTATAAAAGCTTTTATTAATAGTAGTCCTAACTATAGTATTATTAATACTAATACTAAAGTAATTAAGTATTTTATAAAGAAGTACTATAATAATTAAATTATAGAGTATACTAGTAGTAAATATAAAACTATTAACTTAAAATTATAATTATTTTATAATCTTTATATTAAGGTAAATATAATATAAGACTAGTAGTAAGTAATAGTTTAAGTAATATTCTAAAGTAAACTACAAAAGTATTATACTTTTATTTTTATTAATAATATATATATATAGTAAGTAAATAATTATAGTAAGTAGACTATATTTACTTACCTTTTTATTATTTTAATAAGTTATTTTAACTAGATTATATAAAATTAATTAAAAATATATATTACCTTATTCTTTATTATTATCCTAAACTACCTTATAGGTTTATATATTATATATAGTCTTTTTATAATTACTATATTATAATATATATAGTTTACTACCTTTTATATAACCTTTCTTTTAGGATATTTTTTTACCTCTAGCTTTAATACCTTCTTTTTCTTCTTATAGTGTCTTTACTTTAGTTATATTAAGTAACCTTTTAAGATATAGTTAGGTCTTTTTAGCCCTTTAGTATTTACTAAGTATCTTTATCCTTATATAAAGTTTATAGTTCTTTACCTTAATAATAATAAGTTAATATACTAACTTACTAATACTCTTTAACTATAAGTTAATTACCTTATATATTAGTATTAATAAACTTTCTTAATACTCTTTAATCTTTTTTTTAATAAAGTAAAGCTTTATATACCTTTAATTACTATTATTAGTGTTTTTAGGTCTTATAAGCCTAAGCTAGTTAGATATAAGTTTACTAGTGTTAGTATCTTTAGTTTAAAATCTAGATAAAAAATAATAACTTTAGGATTAAAAAGTATAAGACTAGTTTACTAGAAACCTACTTATATATTAATTTTACTTATTAAAGTAAAGAATACTACTTTAAAAGTAAAAAAGAAGTTATCTTTAGTAATATATATAATTTATATTTATATTATTTTCTTAATTATCTTATTATATGAATACTTTAAAAGGCTAAAATAGCTAATATTAAAAAGCTAAAGCTTATATAATAAGTAAAAAAGTATATATAAAGTAATAATTCTTTTTTTATAGTAGTTATTAAATTTAGTTAATTTATAGTTATTATAGCTATTTAGGATTAGAAGGTAATAAGTACCCTTTATATAAGACTTTATATACTAGTTAATATAATTTAACTAATCTAGGCTAATCTTATTTATTATTTATTTATTTTTATTTAAGTAAATATACTAGTTAGCTAAGAATAAGCTTTTTTAGTACTAAGAGAAGAGGTAATATTTACTCTTTATAATAATATATAAAGGTATTACTTAGCTATCTATATATATACTCTAAATAATAAAAACCTATTTATACTTACTAGGCTACTTTATATAAGGCCTTCTATATTAGTTAGAAGTTATAATAACCTTTATATATAATAGTATTCTTATTAAAAACCTAGTCTCATTAAAATTATAAATATTATAATCTTATATTCTATACTTTATAATTATATTTTATATAAGTATAAACTAGCCTTATATAATTATAAGATCTTTAGCTAAGGCTATCTAATAGTTACTTTAATATTAAAATTATATTTTTAATTAAGGTTATTATTATATAAAGTTTTTACTTATTAAAGTCTAATATATATTATATTATATTTATTTAAGAGTTAGTAAGCTATATCTTATGTATCTTATTATTATAAAGGAAACCCTTAATTAATTAGGTTAATAACCCTCTTAAGAATTACCTTCTTTTTTACTTTTATTATCTTCTTTAATTTTAGGTATATCTTATCTTATATAATATATCCTATGTGTTAGTAATAGAGTGTTATATAAGGGACCTTAAAGATAGTAGCTACTTTTTATTTAGATATTTTTAGGTCTTTTTTAATAGCTTAGAGTGCAAAGATAATATAGTTTTTAATTAAAGAGGATTATATATTTATATATAAAGAAATAATAGTATAAAGGTTAAAGATATAAAAAGTAGGTAGATATAGTCTACTTACTATAATTATCTACTTACTATATATATATATTAAGTAAGTAATTTTAATAGTTTAATAGTAAAGCTTAAAGAATAATTTAAAAGTAAGAAGATATACTTAGTTAATATTACTAAACTTTACTATATATTACTTAATTTAATTACTTATAATAATAATATTAGAAATAGACTTAAGATCTTTAAGTTACTTATTAAGAAGGTTACTAAGCTAGTTAAGGTAAATATTAGTAACACTAAAGAGTAAATTAATATAGTTAAGTATATATATTAGTAGTAATTAATAAATAATTATAGTAACTATAGTCTTAACTATATATAAAGTAAAGATAGATAACTAATATAGGTTAGTTAGTTAAATAACTAACTTACTACTAAAAGTTTTTAGTAGATCTATAGCTAATTATCTAAGAATTTACTTATAATAAGTTACTAATATTAATCTAGTAACTTAATGTTTATTTATATTAGTTAATATTATAATATTATTTTAAGATATACTTTATTACCTTAATAATACTTACTATAAAGTATTTTATAGAGTTATATAGGGTTATAAAGACAGTATTTATTTTAAATAATTATAGTAATAATAACTTTACTACTCTTCTTTAGAGGTAAAAGAGGTAAATAAGGTTAAAGATAAGAGATAAGAGATAAGATATAGAAGTATTATATTATTATAGATATAGAAGAGATTATAGATCTAACTAGCTAACTAGACCTAGGGATATAAAGAGATTACTTATACTTATTTCTTAGGTATTCTAAGGATTTCTCTAGTATTCTAGGCTATTAAGTAGGTTATTAAGTAGGTCATTAAATTATAGAGTATTATTTTACTTATAATAGGGTATTATTTTATCTATTTACCTTATATAACCTAGAACTATATTCTTAATTCCTTAGAGAAGAAGGAGGTCTTACTTAGAAGACCTATTCTTTATATATTTATAAGGTCTTTAAACCTTAATATCTTATACCCCCCCTTAAGGTATATATAATTTATTATATATAGCTTATCTATTAAAAGCTTCATTAGAAAAATTAAGATAGCTATTTATTATTAAGTATATATACTTAAATATATACTATACTAATCTTTTTAAAACATTTATAAGAAAAAGAAAACAAGTAATAGTAAAATATTTATATATGTAT